TGCAAACAAAAACCAGAAAAGTAACAATGACTGTGAATGCAAAAAGAACAGCAGCCTGTTCAGTCAACAGTATTATAAATAAAGTGTGTGTGCGTGTTATGTCTTGTGTCTTTTTCATGCTCTATTTGATACTATTGTGATTTCAAACAGGCACTCCAAATCAAATGAATCAAACTTACATAAAAAGAAAACAGTAACCTCAGTAATCTCATAACATGCACTGTAACTACATTAGAGACATAAAACAAGTAGTACACACATTAACAATGACCTTAGTCAAACACTTAAAAACTCAACATTAAATTGGCTCCACAATACAAAACATGTCTGACAGGGTATGTCATGCCTTGGCACAGATTTGATGTGTAAAATCCAAGGTGAGCATCCAAAAACAGTTGAGTAGAATGCATTCAGCAAGCAGCAGGCTTATGATTGAGATCAGTTCAGACTTGCTCATAACAACAGATATTTCTGTATCTTGGCAGAGAACTACAGAGGTGACAATTTCTCATTAATTGACAGCTTGCTGCCTGACATGAAAGGTTTGCCTTCTTTCACAGTGACACCATGAAAAGAGAAGAAATAGATGTTTGTATTATCGGCTGAGAATAAATGTCTCAAGGGTCTTTTTTCTCTTTTTCAGATTATCTTTGTTCTCCAGAAGAAAATGTCCACATGATCGACTTCACCAGGTTTAAGATCCGGGACATGGAAACAGGGACGGTCCTGTTTGAGATTACTAAACCTCCAACAGGTCAGCTCCGAACAATAGAAACCAAATAACATATTATAAAACAGATCCACAAACACATGAATGCCCCCATTTTGTAATGGGACTTGTCTTTTTTGTTCTTTAAATGGTATTTCACTTGTTAGATTTTATTGTATAATATTTTTCTTGTCTCCATGACCCATGTGGAGAATAATCAAATGTCATAATGGATATTTTTCAATTCAGCCAACGCTCTTCTTTTCTTTTAAATGTCTCTTGTTTCGCAGAAGGCAAAAAGCAGTGTGACCCCAACGCCGGGCGCTTTGTCCGATACCAGTTCACTCCAGCCTTCCTGCAGTTGCGGCAGGTCGGAGCCACGTAAGTTGACAATAAGTGTGTCTTTGAAGGCTGTGAGAGAGCAAGAGACGTGTTTCCGTGAAAGCTGATCAACCCTGCTGCACAGACAGAAGACCCATGCCGGCTGTGGGAGGTGTGTGGGCGTCAGTGTGGGACGGCAGGCTGACGATGATAAGTGTGAACATACAGAGCAGCCGAGCCCACCTGCTGAGTCAGGCACCAAATAGCTGTCAGTGCTTCTGAGTTGTGTTCATCATCAGACTCCTACTTTGTGACTGACTGCAGATTTAAATCCAGTCCAACAAACTGACTCATTTTGATAATCTAGGCTATATAAAGAAAAAAGCTCAATGTATGTTAGATACAATTTGCTTTGTGAACCATATAACAAAAGAGGTGTTATGTTATATTTAGCACAGCACCTCAAAAAAGGTAACATTTTTAAAAGACAATTTACAATTTGGGTTTTATTGTTATCGTCATCTTCCTTCTTTGGCAATCGTGCAAAAACACTCAACCAACTTGTATTTGTATTTTCATGATCCCACGGATATATTCCGTCTCCCCATTTGAATCCAATATTCCCACAGACTGTGTCAGCCACTACCACAGTCCAAGTAGCAGACTTTTTTCATTAGACCAACAAAGAAGAAAAGCACAAAACATTTCATTCAAAGTTGGGTTCGCCCTGACCAATCATCACTCTGGACGGGATGTAGACATCTGTGAAATCGCCAATAACAACCTGTTGAACTGATGAACTGATTGACTTTGTTGTAATGATGTTCCCATATGTTCCCATATATTTTTGTAAATATGATGTTATTATAACCGTTAAGGCCAAAACTATATAAATAAGGCCCTATAGTTTAAATGAACTGGAATTAACCTTTAAATGTTACCTGACCTTTGAGCAGTCCCCAAAGTTTCTCATTTGCTTCCAGGTTGGTGAATAAATGTCCTCCCTGTGTTTCTGCAGAGTTGAGTTCACAGTGGGAGACACACCAATCAACAACTTCCGCATGATCGAGAGACACTACTTCCGCGATCAGCTGCTCAAGAGTTTTGATTTCGAGTTCGGCTTCTGCATGCCCAGCAGCAAGAACACATGTGAGCACATCTACGAGTTCCCCGCGCTGTCTGAGGAAATCAGTGAGTGTCACACACACACACACACACACACACAATGCTGCAACACGCACGTGACCACAAGAGACAAACGCGCCCACACAGAGATCTAACAGGATTTAATCATGTAAAATCCTGAGTGTTGGGTGTTTCTTTCTCTCTCTCAGTGCGTGAGATGATCCTGCACCCTTATGAGACGCAGTCTGACAGCTTCTACTTTGTGGACAACAAGCTGGTGATGCACAACAAGGCAGACTATTCCTACAGCGGGGGGCCATAAGAAGATCACCCTCCACCTTTCACTCCTCCCTATAGTCTAGACATTTTACATGACATGTACCACTTCAGGACCAGAAACAGATGAACTAATGGACAATTCACTGGCATTAAACGCTCTTGTCTCCCTCCTGTTAACTGCATTATTTCCCATTCAGGTATTCAGCTCCCAGACCAATAGATTTCTCCCTTTGCCTCTTTGCAGGAACATCGAATTCTGCCAGTTTTATCATCATTTTGCATCAATGTGTGTGAGCGAGTGTGTGGGCAGCTAAGTGTCAGTACATACTGTTGATTTCAGTCTGTATATGTGGGTTCCACTTGATCATCAGCAAGACGTCACATTTTGTGTTTTTAAAAAATGAAGAGAGAAAGGCGACAGTGAGTCAGAGACACACCATGAAACATAAAGAGAAAATAAGTTACCCTAGAAAAGTTTAATAATAATTAATCCATTCAGGTGTACATTTATATCGTTTGTATAGGAAGCTCATTACATTTTTACTCCAGAAGTTTCTTAAATTTCTAGTAGCACACATCTGAATGATTCATTCTGTCATCGTTCGTTTGAACGAGCAACAGAAATGTGTACTTTGTCAATGTGAATGTGTCATTTGTTGTAAGTTTCCATGTAGTACTTCTAGCCTACTGAAGGAGTATTTTTTAAATAAATAGCCACTTTGAAGTGTCAGAAAACCAATACCATACCAATTTTGATATCCAGTACGTTCTCTGTAGTACTGAACACTGTGTATACTTTAATTATGATGAATGTTTTAAGTATAAAATGAAGAAGTATGTGAAGTTTTGACAGCGGAAATTCCATCACTGCAATAAATATTTTTTTCGAAGTCTTGATATCCATTGTTTGTTTGTTTTTTCACAACAGATGAAACTGAAAGGAAGAATGTCAACAGAACGGTGAAAATCATGTTGAGCAGATAATAGACAGTGAAGCTTACAAATAATCAGAATCAGACAAAATAAGTAAATACAACCCAGAGGTAAGGGAAACAGTTATTGTGTTCCTGTTTATAATTCATCTATTTTGCCGGCCTTGTTTCTCTGACTTTTATTGGTGAGACGGAAAGTTATTCCAAAATGATGATGTTACCTGATTCAATAGTTTAAATCTAAACAGTATCTTCTCAAATACGGTATTACTGATTTTCAGACACAGGTTTGGAAATGTACCACCTTCCAACAATTTAAGAGCAATGATTAAAGATTCCTTCCATACATGTTGTAAGACTGAAAAAAAAAGTTGCTTGGATAAATTATTTGTGTGTGGTTCCACAATTACCTAGTAACCTAGTTCAGATTTACATAAACATAACACACTTTAATTCGTTTACGACAATACCTTTAGAAAGACAGTGGTTGGTGAAACTAAGTAACCCATGTGCTTAAATAATGCCTGTAAATAAAGTTTCCAGCTGGTCCATATTGTAGTTATTCTTGCGTTTATGAAGCTACTTGATGTAGGAGACAAAAGTACTACAATATATTGAGAAAGTAAAAGATGTGACTGTTGCAGAATCATTGTAGATCATTTTAATTATGAAAAGATATTTCCTCATCTTTGTCAAAGTGTCTTTGCTGCCATCTTCTGTGACATCAGTCTTACTGCATTTTTAGCCATGACACCACTTATCACCATCACTCAGGCAAGCGTTGCTATTTAAACATCAGTACCCACGATTATATGAATCACGAGCCACGTAACACGTGTGCCGGTTTGATTTGGTGCGTGTGAGATGTGGGGCCACTCACCTGCAGCTTTGTTGCAAACCTTTCAGACGGAATGTTGGTAACTAACGGCAGCTTGTTCGGGTCTCGTGAGGAGCTTCCATTTAGTTACATGATGGTGCGTTCTAGCTCCATTCAGTAAAAAAATGAGCATTGGACGAAGTAAATAATAACGCGTCAGAATGTGTTCATGTGATCTTGTAAAATGTTGTTTTTGTGACGAAGGAGAAGTTTTGCACAGCAACATAAATAGATACAAGAGAGGGAATTATGACCTGTTTAACTTCCTAACACTAGCTCTAAGCTTAAATACTACATCATCAAAACTGCCAATGGCATGATTTTTTTAATCAATAAAAATAAAGTATTTTATTTCCTAATCATTTGAATAGTGTGTTTTTATCCAAATAAGCACTATTGATGACGAATAACAAAATAAAAGTATGATGATAATTAGTATTTTAGTTCATTAGCTATAGCTCTATTAGAAATAGGTACTCGTAAATAATCGTAAAAACTGTAAAACCATGATATGAATACTGACAATAATCCTGATATCAGAATTTCCTTTTGTCTTATCTGCGTAATCCGTTCTCATGTTTAGTTATTATGCTGAACGTTTACCACAGTGGAGCCAGTGTAAATGATACAATATGGTTTGTTTTAAATACTATTCATCTTAAATTATTTTTGATCATATTCAATAAGAAATTCAGTCCTGCAATAACAGTTTTTTGTTTATTTGTTTGTTAGTTGAAAAAGCAGCCAGCACTGAAAAGCATTTATATAATTCAGGCAACTGTACATTTGTTTCAGGTTGTAGTCAGTTCAATGTAAGGTGCTGAAGAAGAGGAAATCCTCCTTATCATCATAAACAACTTTACTAAGTCATAATTAATTGGATATGACAATTCGTAAAAGACAAAACATTTTTTTAGAATTACTTAAAAATACATGAATTAATACCACAATTATGTGACATGTTAGAATCAACGTAACAATACAGTTTGTATCAGGTAAATAAATAGCAAATTCACAAAGTTTTCAATAAGGAATTTAATTATAATTATTTATGTATCAACTGTCTCCTTTTTACTTTTCCATTTATAAAAACCTATTACCATTAGCTAACTCACCATAATATGTAACTGGAGCTCTTGCAAATAAATAAATGGGGGGTGGAAGAAATGTATATTTAAACAGACAAAAAAAAAGATATAACTATTTCCTATTTCGAGGATTTGATGGTTTAAATAACCACCAAGCTAATACTGTGGCAAGAAGCTCCTTTTGACAATATTCCCTATTCAGGTTGATATAGTAGGTTACATCAATAGTCAGAGTGTGAAAGAGCCCAAAGAGTCAGGTCTTTATATTAAGGAGATGGATGCGGTACAGGAAGTCAGATACCCAGCAAGACTCTCCACCCCTGAATAAACCGCAGGATGCAGTCCATTCAAACAGCCGTGCTGGTCAAAGATTCTGCCTGTGTTCTCGTCTTCGTCCTCTGCTCTTTGTCGACCGACGCCCGTCACCTCTGACGTCTGACCGTCACGAGACGTGACCCGCGTGAAGCCGGTCCGGACGTGGTGGTCCTGCAGGGCAGAGGTCGTGTGCGGAGTCACGGTGGTAACTTGTGGATCAGACACAAAGTTGTCCTGCTGTAACTCCTCCCACAAGTTACCTGGAGAAAAAAAAATAGAAAAATACATCTGTAACAGACACATAAACAAGCTTTTCCTGCAGGGAAAAGTCAAAATGTCTGCTGTGAAAAAGGGAAATTAGATGACAAAGACAGCAAAACTAAATGTCTCATCCATCATTAATGTAATTGATTGCACCTGTGCTTTTGCTTCTTTGACATGGAAATGTCTGCTGAGGTCTGATAGCAGCAAAAAGGTTCAATACAGCCACAGGATTTATATGAATCGACAAATCCTATGCAGACCCAAACAATATGCCACATTTTGACATCCTAGAGCTAAGCAACTGCTAGCATGCTGAAAAACAGCTATTTAGCATTAGTTAGCTAACTAGAGCAAACAAGACTTTGATGAGTTGCCTTCCTGTGTCCCAACCAAGTGAATGTGACGATGTGATGCGTCAATGACACGGTACTTTCTAGTCTCCTTGCACTTTGCTTGTTTTATTCCTATCCATCATATTGTCTCTGCTGTCTCTCGTACCTTGCAGCTGCAGGTCAGTCAGACTGGGGTTGAGCGTGTCGATGTCATAAGTGGCGTCCCCCTCCATCAGCAAGTCCTGCATGCTCCTGGAGCTGAACTCAGCCTGCAGGGCGCTATTGTAACTAGGTGGCATCTTACCAGCCACGGGGGAGTGCAAGCCTCCAGTGGCTGATGGGATGCCAGCTGCAGGCTGCTGTCCACAGGGTGAGTACAGGGCAAAGGAGTTGCTGGGGTGAGCAGCGGCAGGGGGAAGGTAGCAGGGCTGCTGAGGTTGAACATGGGCATACTGTGGACGCCGAAACAGTGGTCGAAGCTGGGCTGGGTTGCATGATGACGAGGTGGTGCCGTAGAAAGGGGCCACTCTGGATAACAAAGCTGGGTTGGTGTAAAGTGGCAAAGACCTGAGCTTGTTCGGTCCCTCTCCCATTAGACGATCAAGGTCTTCTGTAGAAAAAGTGTGTGTTGTATTAAGTTTGACTCAAGATGTACTAAAATTAAGAAGTAGAGGTCAGAACAGCAAGAACTGATTAAAAGGTCAAACATCTGTGCAGTACATCTTTGATTGTTTAATCTGTCACTGTAATGAATTCATGGTAAAAATCAATCTTCTGAAAAATATTATTTTCCTCTTCCTTTAGTTAATGTTCTCTTCTTGGGTACTGACTTCTTTCAATACGTTTAAGGGACACACCTGGTCTCGCCATGCTCCTGCGAACACTGATGGGGTCCTTGCGACGCCACTTGTGCAGCTCCTCCTGCATTTTGTCCACCTTGGCGGGATTGAGAGCCCAAAGACAGCCTTTACGGGACGAGTTCCCATTTTTGTTCTCCACCTTCTGAAAGCACTTGTTCAGGGAGAGGTTGTGACGCACAGAGTTCTTCCATCCATCAGGAGCTGACTGAAAATAGAGAGGAGTGAATAGATGCAGAAGATGGGGAAAGAAAAGATTTAAAGCAGCTGTTCTTATAATGTCATGTCAGAGTACTTCATAGTACAAGAAGAAAAGCAATGAGTACACATTATTGGGCGGCTACATATGCATCCAAACCACTGTGCTACAAGGACACATATCATTTCCTTTATAAAATGTCATCAAATTGGGAAAATTGTCAAATATAATTTCAGTGATCAGTGGTCCAATCAATTATATATGACCTTCTATTACATACATACGATAAATACAAACAACAAATCCTCACAAGCTGGAACAGTGAATGTTTTGCATTTTTCTTCTGTTTATTTCAGAAGTGAAAAGTTTTCCAAGGATATTTTAACAAGACTAAACGTCTACAGTAATGCTAGCAGCTCTGTGAGGCTGCGCTCAGGAACAGCAGTGCTTTAAACTGATTGCTAACGATAGCATGCTAAAATGCTTACATTGACAATGCTAACATTCTGATGTTTAGCATGTATAATGTTTACCATTGAGCATGTTAGCATGCATACATTTGTTATTTTTGGCAGATAACACAAAGTACATCTGAGGCTCACCAAAGTCAGTAAGATATTCATCCTCTGTGGAACAAGAAAGTCATGGCAATTCATCCGATAGACAGTTTCAAATGTCGAGTTTTACTTTTCACATACGCAACATATTGCTCCACTCTGCAGTGCTTTGTTGCCCTCTCGCATACTGTGCTTTAAATCCAAATACTGCATATAAATATTTGTTTAAATAAATGCAATATATATGACAACAAATTACATACAGCTAAAATACACAAGGACTGACCGACAGCATTCCTGGTGCCACACTGGCAGTGTGGCTAAAAAGGAACCATTACCATTTCATGGAAGGATCCAAAAAACGTATTTAGTTTTAATTTGTTTCACACAATAAAGATATAAATTAAACTGAATTGCCCTTTTTTGCCCTATCTTAGCATGAACTAGTGTTTCAGTATCTATGTAGCAAATTCAGCATCACTCAGATATTATGAGTGATGTTTCAAATTCCCTGAAATCCATATTCAGAAATCTCTTTCCCCGGAGGATAAAAGGTGTATTAATGTTTCCACAATCTGCAGTGCACTGGACCGAAATGATCTCAAAGATACCTGACAATATCCAGAAAGTATTCAGACCTATCTCAACAATCTCAGCCTTTGCAGAATGCGTTGACTTTCCTTAGAGTATCACTTCTCATCTGCCTCATGTGTTTTCTGGCCCTGCAGCCTATGTTTAATGTTACAGGCAGCTGTTTGGAAAGCAGCCATCTGTAAGGTGCCTTCTTAAATACGAATGGCAGCAAGTCTTTGAGCTCTTTCCAGAGGTGAGTCTGAACTTATTTGATTTGTAGATACCTGGAATCCTTTGAAGAATGTACAGTATTTGTGATGACCCAGGGTTCAATCATGGGTCTGTTCTGCGTGACGCATGCTGAAACCTGTTGTGTCTGCTCTGCTTTAATGTCGTACACTTTTCTTTTGCTGTGTGTTGGTTTTGTCTATACGTTGCTGTCCATTTGTCTATGAATTTTAATTCCGTTTCAATTTGAGATTTTGTTATTTTAGGCTGCCTTGAAACATCTGGCCGGGGACAGCAGATGGAAATTAGCCTCTCTGGCTAACTCTGGCTCGCTTACAGTGCAACTGTTGATTAGTGTGCATTGTCCCTGAAAAATAAATAAATAAATCAGGGGTCCAACCCTTCAGCTGCCTCATTTTATTAATATTAAAGCAAAGATGCATGTGTTTGACTTTACCAGGCACTTTCTTAACAATAACATAGAATTATAATGTGTCTTTGGTTTCACATGTCAGATTTGATTTACTGAATGGTGAAACAACAACCTCACTAATGCCCGACATACACACACATAAACATACACTGTCGATAGTCAACAGATACAAAACCTCTCCTCATTAAACCCATGCCAGCCTTCTGCCTTAACAGGTTACCACTCAGCTGGTGCAGGGCCACCTGCAGCTGTAGAGACTTTTGAGGTGTGTCATTAATTAGAAAGTAATTAATGTCAGCTGCAACAAAGATGTGGTTTGGTAAAGGGCAAGAAAACACAAACCTGAACGTGAACCCTTTCAACTCCTGATCTACTGTAGAAAAACCATCAATTGATCTAAAGAGACTTGCTGGAGAGGAATATTTATTCTATGCGTAGTTAAAGTCACAACTACTGCTGCTCTGGTTGTGCCACTGATGAGCCTGAGCTTTTTTCATTTGGTTAAATATGTGACACGCAAACATTAATCGCGGTACCTTGAAATAGGGGAAGTGTTCAGCCATGAAGCTGTAGATCTCACTGACTGGCAGGCTTCCTGTCTTGCTGTTCTTCAGAGCCAAGAAGATCAAGATGCTGCAGTCATGAAGGAAACACTTTTTACATTACAATTTTATTTACATGTTACATTTGGTGCAACAAAGCACTTAAAGATGCCCCACCAATATTCAAAGCACGAGAATCATATACTAATTCTGCACATTGTTGCTTTAAAATATGAATGCACAATGAAGCTAGACAGAAATATAAAAGATGGCACACAATATGTTGAAATTCGATGTTACCTGTATGAGTAAATGGGCTTGGGGAAGAGGGACTGTTTGGTGCTCTCCTGGTGTGATTGAGTGGAGAGACTTTGGAGAGAATATTTTGAGCTGTTGGACTGATCGTTATTAGGATATAGTCTAGAGGAGACCTGTAGAGGACACATACACACACACACACACCTGAAAACTGGAAACAATAAAAGACAGATATGTTTGACAGATTTTTGTAATACCCTCAAATCATACAGGTAAACCTAAATATTTCTCGCTCATGTTCATGCACGGGCCTTGATGCAACTCGGGAACCGACACACTCACTCACCTGTTGTAGAGGGCTCGACGAGCTGTAGGATGGATAGCTTTGAGACAGGAAGCAGGAGGGGTCTACTGGTACAGTTAGTAGTTCTGGGAACGAACTCTGCTAAAAAAAATAGAGGATAAAGTTGTTTGGAGAAGCCAAACGCATGTGCAAGAGTGGGATTTCTAATAACATTTCTGCCTAAAATTAACTTAATGGCCTAATTTGGCCACTTGGGCAGTGGAAACAAGTTGTGAGCTCAACAAAGACTTATCACCTTTTAAGTTGATTGGTGAACTTCATAGCAAACAAGTGTTTTTTTTACAAATCAAGCTCTCACGGAGTAATATAATCATTAATTTGGCGTTTCTGTTCACCTGTTGGGGATAAGTCTAATATTCTCTTTTAGCTCTGTTTTTGGTCTCTACCAACTCCTGAGCTAAATATCTCCCACATTTCTGGTCACTCTGATTACTCACTCCCTTTCTGATATCAACTTGTTTTGAATTGCACAAACTGGAATAAAAATGAGGATAAAATGAGTGTAGCATAAATTTAGAAACCTGAACGCTGCCGTCGTACTGGTCCCAGGATGATGGTGCCTCGCGTCTCGAGCTGTGTGAACGAGTGCCAGGGCTAAACACCTCCTGCAGACAGCTGAAGGAAGACGTGTCCTGTTGGAGGCAACCCGCACCCGGCCTTGCTCCATCGCTGAACTGTCGATGGTACGGATGGTAACGGTCAGCGTCAACAGAGCCTCGTCGCGGTGTTGATCCAGACCCTGAACCGATGGTCCCATCAGCACTGTGCCTCCTGTTCACATCTGCAGTCCTCAAGCTGAAGTCGCTGCTCTCTTGCTGGTTGAAGCAGACGCCCCTGCCCTCTTTAGTCTGTGGTGTGATCATCATAGTGATACAAAACTTTAAAGATGCAAATCACAATCTACACTAACTGTTGACAAACCCATCAAGGATGGGTTTCGATGTGTAGCTGTACTACCATTTCCGGACCAAGAAGCTGCAAAGATGCTTAGTGGGAATCCTCTGAGGCATTACTAGAAAACTTCCTCTCTCATAGTAAAACACAGAGAACAGCCTTTTAATCAAATCAAATTAAATCAATCTACATGTTCCCTTACTTTAATCTTTAAGATATAAAACCTTTATTCCTGGGGCAGGACATGTTTTTATTTATTTAATTGTGAAATGCAGTACTTTTGATAGGTGGAGAAGTTTGACATTTTGGGAAACAATATATAAGTTTCCCTATACAATATTCAGAGCATTAATATACTAGAGCGCAGAGAGCACTAATTAACGATTTGCTATGTAAAGATATAGTGGAGTAATACCTAACTGAGCAGAGAATGAAGTCACTCTCCCTTTCATTGAGTGTCTCAGCAAGAATGTGACTACACGTATTTCCCAAAATGTCAAACTATTCCTTTAAAAATGTGGTGTTATACTGTATGTTCCACAGTTAATTTTGCCATAAGAAAGAAATACAGATCATAGGCAAATTAAAAGAGTTGTCCATTGAAAGCCCATGGAAAACTAAGGCCATTTGTCAAAGTACAAGCAGTACATGTAAGTACAAGAGTCTATTTCCGGTGTCACACAGAAGAACCTGTTTCTGGTTAAAACCTGAGGCGGATCAATACCTGTGATTCTGCCATCAGCTGGCGAGAGGGCTCACATGTGTGTTGGCTAGCCTGAGGGGTTGCCGTTGACTTGCCACCACTGTGGGAAAATGTCAGCGAGTCTGACATTCTGCACAAAAATCTGCTCCTGTGAAGAGATGGGAAACAGGCTAAATCACCAGCAGCTGGTTAGCTTAGCTTAGCATAAAGAGCAGAGACAGGGGTACATATAAATAAAGCCTTGCCCTGTCCAAAGGTAAAAACATCTACAAACATCATAGTGGTGCTGGCAAGCAGATTTAGTTACCTTTTAACAGAGCCAGGCTACCTGTTTCCAGTCGTTATGCTAAGCTAAAGGAACCAGAGTGGTATTGACATCTCATCAACACTTAGCAAGAGAGCTAATAAGCGTTTTTCCCAAAACATCAAACTATTCTATATTGGAATCTGAAGTGTGAAAAAGCAAGTTGTAACAAATCGAGCTGTTTGTTTTTCTACTTTTGATTGATATTGCTGTTGGCATATGACAGGAAGTACACCTCAACTGTTTTGACAAAGCGCTTATTGTTACTGATCCTCTGAGATCATATCTGCTGAGTCTCTATTCTGCTGTAAATATGCGAGATACGCTATACTGTGTCTTCTGACAGTATGATTGCAGGGGTGAGAACAGTTCACTTTCAGTGCCATTTATTAAAACACCAAAGTTTGACATAAGTGGATGTACATGAGGCAGGGGTTTATCCGGCTGAGTGTAAAGAAGTGATATCTGATCCCAGCGGAGGTGACAGACACGTGGCCCTAGTTCCAGTAAAGGTAACCTCAGCCCCGACACAAACCAAGCTCATTAAAACTGCCAACAAACCATGGCTGTTAGGTCATGTAAAGCCAAATAATGCTGAGGCAGAGTGTGTAGTTGTGTGTGTGTGTGTGTGTGTGTATGTGTGTGTGTGTGTGTGTGTGTGTGTGAGAGAGAGAGAGAGAGAGAGAGAGAGAGAGAGAGAGAGAGAGAGAG